CTTCCCTGAAAGTTTTCAGTTCACAGAATAAATATCATGATATAAAACAAAAGATAACAGCTTTATCACTTTTCCTCACTCCTGTCTTAAATTACTAGTCTTTAGATGTTAGATATGTAAATACATAAATTGTGTGGGTATGTATGTAAACTTCCCTGAAAGTTTTCAGTTCACAGAATAAATATCATGATATAAAACAAAAGATAACAGCTTTATCACTTTTCCTCACTCCTGTCTTAAATTACTAGTCTTTAGATGTTAGATATGTAAATACATAAATTGTGTGGGTATGTATGTAAACTTCCCTGAAAGTTTTCAGTTCACAGAATAAATATCATGATATAAAACAAAAGATAACAGCTTTATCACTTTTCCTCACTCCTGTCTTAAATTACTAGTCTTTAGATGTTAGATATGTAAATACATAAATTGTGTGGGTATGTATGTAAACTTCCCTGAAAGTTTTCAGTTCACAGAATAAATATCATGATATAAAACAAAAGATAACAGCTTTATCACTTTTCCTCACTCCTGTCTTAAATTACTAGTCTTTAGATGTTAGATATGTAAATACATAAATTGTGTGGGTATGTATGTAAACTTCCCTGAAAGTTTTCAGTTCACAGAATAAATATCATGATATAAAACAAAAGATAACAGCTTTATCACTTTTCCTCACTCCTGTCTTAAATTACTAGTCTTTAGATGTTAGATATGTAAATACATAAATTGTGTGGGTATGTATGTAAACTTCCCTGAAAGTTTTCAGTTCACAGAATAAATATCATGATATAAAACAAAAGATAACAGCTTTATCACTTTTCCTCACTCCTGTCTTAAATTACTAGTCTTTAGATGTTAGATATGTAAATACATAAATTGTGTGGGTATGTATGTAAACTTCCCTGAAAGTTTTCAGTTCACAGAATAAATATCATGATATAAAACAAAAGATAACAGCTTTATCACTTTTCCTCACTCCTGTCTTAAATTACTAGTCTTTAGATGTTAGATATGTAAATACATAAATTGTGTGGGTATGTATGTAAACTTCCCTGAAAGTTTTCAGTTCACAGAATAAATATCATGATATAAAACAAAAGATAACAGCTTTATCACTTTTCCTCACTCCTGTCTTAAATTACTAGTCTTTAGATGTTAGATATGTAAATACATAAATTGTGTGGGTATGTATGTAAACTTCCCTGAAAGTTTTCAGTTCACAGAATAAATATCATGATATAAAACAAAAGATAACAGCTTTATCACTTTTCCTCACTCCTGTCTTAAATTACTAGTCTTTAGATGTTAGATATGTAAATACATAAATTGTGTGGGTATGTATGTAAACTTCCCTGAAAGTTTTCAGTTCACAGAATAAATATCATGATATAAAACAAAAGATAACAGCTTTATCACTTTTCCTCACTCCTGTCTTAAATTACTAGTCTTTAGATGTTAGATATGTAAATACATAAATTGTGTGGGTATGTATGTAAACTTCCCTGAAAGTTTTCAGTTCACAGAATAAATATCATGATATAAAACAAAAGATAACAGCTTTATCACTTTTCCTCACTCCTGTCTTAAATTACTAGTCTTTAGATGTTAGATATGTAAATACATAAATTGTGTGGGTATGTATGTAAACTTCCCTGAAAGTTTTCAGTTCACAGAATAAATATCATGATATAAAACAAAAGATAACAGCTTTATCACTTTTCCTCACTCCTGTCTTAAATTACTAGTCTTTAGATGTTAGATATGTAAATACATAAATTGTGTGGGTATGTATGTAAACTTCCCTGAAAGTTTTCAGTTCACAGAATAAATATCATGATATAAAACAAAAGATAACAGCTTTATCACTTTTCCTCACTCCTGTCTTAAATTACTAGTCTTTAGATGTTAGATATGTAAATACATAAATTGTGTGGGTATGTATGTAAACTTCCCTGAAAGTTTTCAGTTCACAGAATAAATATCATGATATAAAACAAAAGATAACAGCTTTATCACTTTTCCTCACTCCTGTCTTAAATTACTAGTCTTTAGATGTTAGATATGTAAATACATAAATTGTGTGGGTATGTATGTAAACTTCCCTGAAAGTTTTCAGTTCACAGAATAAATATCATGATATAAAACAAAAGATAACAGCTTTATCACTTTTCCTCACTCCTGTCTTAAATTACTAGTCTTTAGATGTTAGATATGTAAATACATAAATTGTGTGGGTATGTATGTAAACTTCCCTGAAAGTTTTCAGTTCACAGAATAAATATCATGATATAAAACAAAAGATAACAGCTTTATCACTTTTCCTCACTCCTGTCTTAAATTACTAGTCTTTAGATGTTAGATATGTAAATACATAAATTGTGTGGGTATGTATGTAAACTTCCCTGAAAGTTTTCAGTTCACAGAATAAATATCATGATATAAAACAAAAGATAACAGCTTTATCACTTTTCCTCACTCCTGTCTTAAATTACTAGTCTTTAGATGTTAGATATGTAAATACATAAATTGTGTGGGTATGTATGTAAACTTCCCTGAAAGTTTTCAGTTCACAGAATAAATATCATGATATAAAACAAAAGATAACAGCTTTATCACTTTTCCTCACTCCTGTCTTAAATTACTAGTCTTTAGATGTTAGATATGTAAATACATAAATTGTGTGGGTATGTATGTAAACTTCCCTGAAAGTTTTCAGTTCACAGAATAAATATCATGATATAAAACAAAAGATAACAGCTTTATCACTTTTCCTCACTCCTGTCTTAAATTACTAGTCTTTAGATGTTAGATATGTAAATACATAAATTGTGTGGGTATGTATGTAAACTTCCCTGAAAGTTTTCAGTTCACAGAATAAATATCATGATATAAAACAAAAGATAACAGCTTTATCACTTTTCCTCACTCCTGTCTTAAATTACTAGTCTTTAGATGTTAGATATGTAAATACATAAATTGTGTGGGTATGTATGTAAACTTCCCTGAAAGTTTTCAGTTCACAGAATAAATATCATGATATAAAACAAAAGATAACAGCTTTATCACTTTTCCTCACTCCTGTCTTAAATTACTAGTCTTTAGATGTTAGATATGTAAATACATAAATTGTGTGGGTATGTATGTAAACTTCCCTGAAAGTTTTCAGTTCACAGAATAAATATCATGATATAAAACAAAAGATAACAGCTTTATCACTTTTCCTCACTCCTGTCTTAAATTACTAGTCTTTAGATGTTAGATATGTAAATACATAAATTGTGTGGGTATGTATGTAAACTTCCCTGAAAGTTTTCAGTTCACAGAATAAATATCATGATATAAAACAAAAGATAACAGCTTTATCACTTTTCCTCACTCCTGTCTTAAATTACTAGTCTTTAGATGTTAGATATGTAAATACATAAATTGTGTGGGTATGTATGTAAACTTCCCTGAAAGTTTTCAGTTCACAGAATAAATATCATGATATAAAACAAAAGATAACAGCTTTATCACTTTTCCTCACTCCTGTCTTAAATTACTAGTCTTTAGATGTTAGATATGTAAATACATAAATTGTGTGGGTATGTATGTAAACTTCCCTGAAAGTTTTCAGTTCACAGAATAAATATCATGATATAAAACAAAAGATAACAGCTTTATCACTTTTCCTCACTCCTGTCTTAAATTACTAGTCTTTAGATGTTAGATATGTAAATACATAAATTGTGTGGGTATGTATGTAAACTTCCCTGAAAGTTTTCAGTTCACAGAATAAATATCATGATATAAAACAAAAGATAACAGCTTTATCACTTTTCCTCACTCCTGTCTTAAATTACTAGTCTTTAGATGTTAGATATGTAAATACATAAATTGTGTGGGTATGTATGTAAACTTCCCTGAAAGTTTTCAGTTCACAGAATAAATATCATGATATAAAACAAAAGATAACAGCTTTATCACTTTTCCTCACTCCTGTCTTAAATTACTAGTCTTTAGATGTTAGATATGTAAATACATAAATTGTGTGGGTATGTATGTAAACTTCCCTGAAAGTTTTCAGTTCACAGAATAAATATCATGATATAAAACAAAAGATAACAGCTTTATCACTTTTCCTCACTCCTGTCTTAAATTACTAGTCTTTAGATGTTAGATATGTAAATACATAAATTGTGTGGGTATGTATGTAAACTTCCCTGAAAGTTTTCAGTTCACAGAATAAATATCATGATATAAAACAAAAGATAACAGCTTTATCACTTTTCCTCACTCCTGTCTTAAATTACTAGTCTTTAGATGTTAGATATGTAAAATATACATAAGAATTGTGTGGGTATATATGTAAATTACACTGAAAGTTTTCAGTTTACAGTTTACAGAATAAATATCATGACATAAAACAAGATTTTGAAAGAATGAGTTCAGTTCTTTCATATCACAACAAAAACACCATGTTAACTTTTTGAAGCATACCTTTTCATGCAAAGGGTAAGGTGGTATGCATATAAAAAAAGAAGCTTAGGGGTTACATTTGTAAATACATAAGAATTTAGTAGTATTTATGCAACTGCCCCAATCATCAAATGTGTGGGTTCCATAGGCCATCAAAGGACAAGACAGAACTACAAGCTGAACATAAATCATGGGTGCATTTGTACCTCTGATAGGGAAACAAAGTATCTGTTCCCAAGCCTTTCATTTAACCTTAGATATGGATCAGAATGTAAGAAATTTAAAAACTTCTTTTCCATGGAACACCCACATACATTTCCTTATTTACATATCTAATAACTAAACTTCCATTTTTACATGCCACCTCATGAAAGTCTATTTCACCTTGTAGAAGTTAAAACAATGATATTTTTAATATGATATGAATGATTTGGATGGTATAAATGTAAAAAAAAAAAAGCAAAATTTGTGTTAGATGTGTAAATATACAAGAATTCGATGATATGTATGAAAATGTCCCCTCAGACCAGGAACCAGAATTTCTCCAGATAAAGCATAAAAGTATTAGAAGGAAACAAAGTTTGCTTAATTGTGAAAGAAATGATGAACATTTAAGTCTGGACAGAGAACAAGAAGAAAAAACAGCTCAGTAACAGTCATACAAAGCAGCCATGGACATGATAAATTGCTGCTGCAACTGATTTAAAATGAATCCAGCTTCGAACTCAGAAGGCTTCTTAATCATCTGCAACACCAAGAATTAGATTAACTCGTGCTGTCACGATTCTGAGAAAAATTTATATACGTAGTACATAATTTTTTCGTATTTACATTATCACACACGTAAATTTTCATACCTAAATGCGGAGCACTCTTAAATCAATGCATGCAAATGTGGATTTAACTTTTGAAAAAGTAGCAATGGCAGCTCTAGTTTTGATGTGATATTAAAGATTTGAGTGATATATATAAAAGTGAATTTACATACATGTATATTTCACTTATTGGTGAGCATTCGGTATATGTTCCGATAGATCGGTTTTAAAATCGGTCAAACCAATTATAGCCAAAATAAGAAGAAAAAAAAAAACTAGATAAATCTAAATTTTGATGAATGTTTATTAGAATTTGATTAAGAAAAAACATTCCAAATTATATCATCTCACCTACATAATATCAATTTAATTTCATGAATCCTCTATTTATTTCAATCAAATGTTGCATAAAATTTTTGATGAAATTTAAATATAATAAAAAAAATTTATAAAATTTTACTTTTTCGGTTTGTTCAAAATGAAAATTAAAATCAAATCAAAATTTATAAAATTTTACTTTTTCGGTTTGTTCAACTGAATGAAAATTAAAATCAAATATTAAAGTAATAAGAAAAAACTAAAAACCGAAATCTATTTTTGAAACCGAACCGAACTGAACCAACCAAACTTTATCGGTTCAGTTCGATTTTTGATTTAGAACAAATAATGCACACCCCTAACTTTGCAATTAAAAACTAATAAACTAATAATAGTACTACTTTCGATGTGATAGCAAAGACTTGAATGCTAGGTGTAAAACATGAAAGTTTGCAAGAAATGTAAGTACACAAGCATTTCAAGTTGCGCATATAAATGCCTCGAGTAAGTATGAAAGCATATGTGTGAGATATGCAAACACAAAAAAAATGTGTGCCATATAAGTAAATGCCCCTTATTCTAATTGCATGAAGATGAGCAGCAGCAACTCACCATTTTGGGATCGAGAACTCGTGGTAGAGAAATCAGAAGACGACATCGGAATGGATATGGAGAGCTGCGTGGTGGAGAAAGAGTTGCGGTTGGATCTATCGTCTTCTAAATCTGACCACGAGTCTCTCGTACCGGGCCATTCATCGAAAAATGGTCGTAAAGGTTGATCGGTCTTGATCGGAGACTCTGCGGATCCATAATCGGAGCCGAAGAAGGAATGTTGGTGCTGGTGATGATTTGGTTTTGGGAAGGAGCTGATGGTCACTTGGCCGAGCTGTTGCAGAGGCTGAAATTGGGAGTAGTTGCCATGGAGAAATGAGCCATCTTTATCTTTTGAAGATGGAGATGCGGTGGCCGGAGATGGCAACAGGCGCCATGAAGTGTCGAAAGAGGAGTCCATGCTGAGCAGTCTCGCGCTTGCAGGAGCGTCAGAATAGAGGCCGCGTTCCTCAAGGCTGGTTTTTGATCCATGAACGTACCTGCACAGCATGATTAGACGATGAAGAACTACGTAGTTCTCACATAACACTCAAATATTTAATAGAACATCAAAAACAACACTATAATTACTTTGTAAAAGCTAATACAACTTTTCATGCATAATTTTAAAGCTTCAAAGTGATGTGTATTATAAGAACAACTTTCCCAAGGAACATTCAAACTCCAAACTAATGAACAAACAGCAAAATTGTAGTTTTATGCTATGGGAAATGAGAAATATAAATCATATATCTAATCATGATTGTGCACTCAACAAAGACTTCAAATAGATTAAAGTGCAAAAAATAGTCCCATGAGGCCGTTTCCGTCCTAGATTTCCAAAAAATAGTCCCATGAGGCCGTTTCCGTCCTAGAGTTTATAAAAATGTCAAAATAGTCCCAACTATAATTGTCCTATAAACTCTAAGACTGTTTTGATATTTCTATAAACTCTGTGACTAAAACGACCCCATTTAAATTGAGCTATAATTGTCCCTCTATAAACTCTAAGACTGTTTTGATATTTCTATAAACTCTGTGACTAAAACGACCACATTTAAATACTCGGGGACTATGTTGACACTTTGCTCCTTCAAATGAGAACAACGCGGTGAAGAAAATAAAAATTAGATATGAAAATCTGCAAACTGAAAATTTGGGTGTGCTCAATAGGGTGTTATAAAATGGAAATTAAACATTATAAAACCACAAATTCTACAAATTTCATTCCCACTAAATTTCTTAAACTACATGAAAACAAACAAAAACCAGCGTTTGTTGTCAAATAAAATGACCGTTATAATAAATTTCATTCCAATAATTACCATAATCGGAATAGGTTGAGTTGTCATAAATTGAAAGGAAAAAAGAAAAAAAAAACTAATTTAAACTAGAGATTATAAACCAGGAAATAAAAAAATTAAATGGGCATTTACATACATAGCACCAAATTCTTATGAATTTATCTAATATAACACCCTTTTTTTTTTTACAATTGTGCCACCCAAGTCTTTCATATCAGATAAAAAATACCACTATTTCAACTTTATAAAAGTGATGCACATTTTCTTGCAAAGGTAAAGGCGGAATGTGCAAAAATTGAAATTTAGGTGTTAGATATGTAAATACGTAAGAATTTAGTGGTTCTTATGTAAATATTCCAAAAAAAAATAAAGAGAGAGAGTCCCTCAAACCTAAAAGCTAACTATGTAACAAAAAGGCAGACATGTTCAAAAGAAAGATATCTTCTAAATGAAGACAAGTATCAAATAAAAAGAGGGAAATTTGCGTTCGCATGACACAATTTGTATGTATTTACATATCAAACACCTAAGGTCTCATGTTTACATTTATGACACTTTAGAGTCATAAACATATGTATGAAAAAAAAAGTATTTTTTACTTTCAAAAAGTGAATAGTAGTGGCATTTTTCATCAAATATTAAAAATTTAGAAGCTATACACGTAAATATGAAATGTTAATGTGTTAGATATGTAAATACATAAGAATTATATTGTATGTAAACGCCCCAAAAAGAGCTATAGTTACAATGCAAACAGATCAGAATAAATGACTAGATTAATATAAAAAAATAGTGCTCATTTCATTCCTTATAGATATAGTAAAAACATTGTAAATCATTATTTCATTCAATCAATTAAATTGTGAAATAAAAATCAAATTTGATTGATTCCCCACTCATTTACAAACTGCAGTCAAACCAAGCTTAGCAGCATCAGATATTCAATGATCTAAGCTTACTGTACTGACAACCATTATTAATGCTTCGTAGAATAACAAACGCTAATTACTACATCTCATCTCAAATTTCAATTTTAAGTGAAAGAAGGCAGCTTTTCTGCTATTCCTCACTTAAAACATCATGAATGATAATCATAGCAAGTCAAAGCAATCAATAGAAGCATCTGAAACTTAATTTATTGGTTTTAACAAAGATAGCAGCTTGGTTATTTATATATTTGTACATAGTTTTCTACTGGTGCAGTAGATTAAACAAATATTGAACTTTGAGAAAGTAGTAGACTTGTCCTAAAGAAACAAAGGAGCAGAAAGATTCTTCTGCGCTTGCTAAACTCCACAGGTGTGTCAGATTAACAATCAATTCCAAATTAATCAAAAACTCTGATTAAATAAGCTTACTTTACTGCTCTTCCAGGTAGATTTATGATATTTTAGTACAAGAATACTTCGAATTTGCAAAACAGATCAAGAATCCTAGTTTATTTAAGAGCTTACCTTCCACATTAATGTATTATTTTTAAAAAAAATTATAAAAATTGCTAAAGCTGTCTTGATCTCTGCTCTCAGCAGAGCATAATTTTTTTAGGAATAATTCAGAGTGCTCTGTAGCTCATCCCCACAGAGTGGGGTTGCAAAAATAAAAGCTATATCTCACGCTAAAAATGGATCCTAAAAGCCAGAGCTTCAAGATCAGCAACACAACTCTAAAAGCTATAATCTTTTCTCGAAATAATGATTCAGAATCATTACCTGAAATCTTTGGTGGCAAAGTTTCCATATGAAGCTGGATCAATGCTAAGATGGGAGGAAGCCACAGCGCCAAGTCCAGTACTTTGATGATGATAAATTGAAGAAATGGAGTGGGGAGGAAGGTTGTGAAAGCTCCCACTGCTGCAACTTCCTCCGGCGACTGAAACGGCGCCGCCGCCTCCAGTTCCGGTGGCGGAACTCCCCAGAGAGGTGGGAGCAAGAGAGGTCACGGTGGAGCAGGACTGAGACTGGGAGAGGGCTGGCGGCGTTTCCACATGCTTTCTTGAACGATTGCGGCCGCGGTGCATGTGCCGCTCACAGTATTTGGAATCAGGGTAGGCGTCTTTAGAGCACCGCCATTTTTTGCCGTCTGTTCTCCGGCAACGGCCTGGTTCTGGGTCGAGTTTCTTGCCGTAGTAGGAGCAGTAACCCACTTAGAAGAACGGAGAACAAAAAACAAGTTAAAATATCATATCAGATCAATGGAAAACGATGAACCACCAGGAAGAAGTTTCAGATCTGTCAATGCTAGCCGTTAAAATTGAGAACTTTATTCGAAAAAAAAAATGAAAAAAAAGACAACTGATGTGAGCGCAGGCAACAAAGTCGTAAATTCATGAAAATGAGGCAGAGTAATATAAACGGTAATGATGATAAAGAAACTTGGAGCATTAAGAAAACAAGCAGTAAAGACTAAGAATAAAAAAGCTCTGGAGAGCACAGAGAGATCCATTAAAATAAACTTAAAACCCAATCTTTACTACGATGAAGGAAAAAAAAAAAGATGAAATTTTACAACATTCTTAGGCAGATAGAGGGCAGAGAAGTGGAAGGGGAAAAGATGAGTGAAACGTGCTTACGAGCTGGATGTTGATAAAAGCGGGTGGCCATGGTCTCAAAACTCCTTCGAATCGGCAGAAGCAGCTCGGGTGGGACGGGAATACCTGCTATGAGGTACTTAAAAATGAGAGCTTGGTGCTCGAGCTCCTCCCACTGCGACGCCGTGAACGGTGGTCTGCATCCTAACCCCACCGCTGCCGCCGTACTGTTCATTTGTCCCCTCACCCTCCCTTCTCCTACCTAACCTAGCAAGTCTACCAACAAAAAGGCTAAAAAAAGAGTAGGTTTCAGAGAAACTCAGAAAAACAGGGAGGAAGAGGAAAGGCTGCAGAAGGAAAGCTCCCTGCTTTCTCCGAGCTCAGACATAGCCTACTCCGCAGAAAATAAAATCCCGAATGGCGGTCCGCCTACCTGCAGGTAAGATGGAGCTGCAAGGCTTCGCCATTTTAGGATAGCAGAAAGGTCTCAGCTTGCAACAAATGCACCACAGCAGAGAGAGAAAATTAAAGAGCAAGAGAGAGTAGAAACCAAATAAGAGAGCGATGGCTTTGAGTGTTGCTATTGCTAGCATTTATAGCTAATTTTGAATAGAGAGAGAAGAAGAAGAAGATGGGTTCAAGATTTATTTCGGGCAATTTTTTCTTCTTCTGATATTTAGCTGAGTTGCTCTAGGGTTGGGCGAGACCTGAGAGGATAAATATCCCCACAGTCATCATTCAGAAAACTTGCTAAAAAAACCTCTGCTTTTAATCCATAATCAAACACTTACTGATTAATCTAAAGATTGTACCTTTAAGAACTTGATCATCAAAACTTCAACAAAAATCATTACTTTTAAACAAAATTTTGACAAATAAAGATTAAGGAGAAGCAGGTCCCGCGCTTGCGGCTGGGGAGCTTCTGCTGCTCATCGTGATTCGAAAATAAGGATTAAATTAGAAGAAAAAGTGCTGTCGCTCTCTGTCGTTTGTCTCCATCTGAGCAAGATGGCTTCGGGTTCCTCAGCTCTTATCGGGAAAAGAGATAGTATCTTTGTAAGCAAACAGCAAAATTTAATGATAATTTAATCAAAGAGATAATCTCAAAGATATTATATAATTATTTCGTTCCTCTGAATCGCATTGGGCTCTGCGCTCCATCACACGGCGAAGATCGAGCCGCGCAGACGGCCGCGGAGCCGTCCGTTGGTCATTCCGTACATGCGGCGACGTTACGGAGTTACGGCGGCGACGGAAAACACTCACGTTTTAAACGGACGGCGCGCAGAGATGGAGCAGCTGAGGGCGATAGGACAGCGGGGTATGTAAATAGGGGAGGGAGGTCGTGAAACGTGGATGTCGGCGGCGAGGAAGCCTAGACAGCTGGATGCGTGACGCTTGAAGACCGTTAAGGCTGTCGCCGGCGGCCAAGGCAGAAATATAATATTGATGGATTGGTGGGTGTGAGGGTGTGATGGTTTGACTTTGGGTTCTGTTCGATCACATCGCAGCATGGTGTGCGTTGAAGTCATTATTTATTGTGTTCTCGTGTTTTTTTTTTTAATTCATTTTATGATTTTAAAAGTTGAGGATTTACTTATTATATATATATATATATATATATAATAAAAATAAATTATGATAGTTGATTTCATAGGTCCATTAAAATAATGATCTTTGTTAATATTATTTTGATGATAATGAGCAATTAATGTTTTTTATTAGCATTCTAGCTTCTTTTATTAATAAGCTTGCAATCTCTTAGAAGCATAATAGCAATGGTTATTAGCTCACCAAAAAAAATTTTAGATTTTGGCCAAGGTTGTGTATTCATTAAAGTTTTATATAAATTTTATACACTTTTAAGTATTATAATAATTTAGGAACATATCGTTTATATTTTAGAAAAAAATATGATATCATATACCTATTTTATATACATGTTCATGTATTTTTATCCATATTGATAAATCTTAAAGATTATTGTTTCAAAAAAGGTTATTATATTCTAAGTGTCTTTTCTTCTTATATATATTTTTTATGAGAGTTTTCTGAGCGCCTGACAATTTTATCAACCATGTCTTCAAGATGAGTGATTACCTGCCCACTTCACCCTTAGTTTTCATATTATCATTCTCTTTTTTTATTTTCCATTAATCATCAACTAACATATGATTTCCTTCTAGCTTTACATGAGTTCAAATATCATCATCATATTTATGCCTCAAGAGGATGAGTACTAAATTAATTTTATGGCACACCCATTAAAATGTGAATTGCATAGTTCCAAATATTTTTCATTTATATAAAAGTTACTTTTGTAAATTTCTCTTACAATGTCAGTATACTCATATTTATGACATTGAGTACTTCTATATAGTTGATACTGTCATTTACGATTGATACTGCGCTCTTGCTTGTCTACTTCACTCTTAGTTTCAAATTACTGTTTTCTTTTTTATTTTCCATTAATCGACTAACATATTGTTTCCTTCTAGCTTTACATAAGTTTCAAAGATCACCATCATACTTTTGCCTAAAGAGTGCCTAAAGAGGATGAGCACTAATTTTTTTTTTTTTGGCACAACCAATAAAATGTGAATTGGATAGTTTAAAATATTTTTTATTTAATTAAAATTTACCTTTTGTAAATTTTTTTTACTGTCTTATCAAATTAAAAAATTAAAATTCAAAAAATATATATTTAAATAAAAAACCATGAATAAAATCTTAAGACTTTAACAATTATAATACATAATAACTTGCAATAAATCATAAAACTAAATTCAAACTTATTCCCATTTAAATAAGGTATGAATCCAAACTAAGTCATGATAAGAAAATTAATTAGTTTCAATTTCAACCTAGCTCAAATTTTATATAAAAGTACCAAAACTAACAATGAGATTTCATAAATTAAACATATTAATAACACTAAATCAAAATATAAAATAATATTAAGACCAACATAAGTTTAAACAACTAAATCAAACTTTTACAAATTAATTCTGCAAACCCTCATTTAACTCAACATTAAACCTCGCCCAAATACTATAAATCAAATATATTTCAAATCTCACATTAAATTCCCATCTAATTGTTATAATAAATGTGTCAATAATCCTACATAAATTTCGAATAAATCCAACAAAAAAAAAAATTAACTCAAAAAATCATATAAAAGTCAATGGAAGTAAGTTCAAATCCATCATATATAAAATTTCATAACTTGTACAAGTTAATTTTTAAATTCCACCAAAATCCAACTTCAAACTTCATCCAAAACTTTATCTTATTTCAAAGCCTAAACATTATTAACAACCTAAACTTAATCCACATCATCCCGTCGCACTAAAAAGTTAGAAGTTGTTAAGTTGTCGGCTGCTATGATGGATATCCTAACACCTGTTTTAATTTAATTTAATATGTATATAATTTAGAAAAAAATAGTATTTTAGATTTTTGAAAACACAAGATCGAACTGATCGCAGATCCCTAGTTATTTAGATAAACGAGCCTAATACCGCAAATAGTGCACCGGATAGATACATTACTTACTGTTGAAGGCTCAATTAAATAAACTAAAGATTGTATGATATCCGTTTAAGTCTGTGAAACCATTTTATGTTGACCTTCAAAAATTCTCCTATTTAATACGAAGAATTAAATAGGGTTTATATTAAGTTGGGTTCGGAAAAGCTTCATATAAGGGCAAGCCCCTATAGTTAATTACATCCTACATAATCGAAGTCACCTAAGAAAACTCTCGATAAAAATCAGGGGGATATTTTCTTCAAAGAGGTCAAAAGGTTAGGACTTTTCAACGAGATCGGACAAAGAGATGGGAAAGGGGAATGACTCAAGTTTGGAACATTTTACTTTGGAATCCAAGTGGTAAGGACTAGGGGATGTCATAGGTCCAGAGGAGAACCTCAGTGACTTCCCAGTCTATCATATTATTTGGCTTCAATTTAGAGGAGAAATATTTAAATATTTCATCCTGCCAATTTATTAATCCTGCCAAATTTATTAATTAGAGTTTATATTCGTGTGAAACGATCACACAAATAGCCTGGGAGATGTGAGAATTTAGGTTGTGACAGACGACAACTTCGGAAACCTAAAGCAGGTTAGGGCTTAAATTGTATAGCAGAGCTATACAAAGTCCTAAAGATAAATTGAGGATTTAAGTTTGCATAAGCAAACAACCTCAAAATTCTATGGATTTGTTGTTTAATTCTAAAGAATGGTCTAGCTGGTGAAGACATATTTTGTTGTTGAAGATGGTTGTGTTGCCCACGATGCTAGCTCCAAGCTCCTTGTCGTAGCAGGTTTAATTTTTCTAATGTGTCAAGTCATGATGTCAAATCAATTGTCCTTATGGTTATGGTTCTTTAAATATTATGTGGCATATTAAAGTTGATTAGAGCGACACCGGTTAGGATCCTACGGTTCTCTCGTTCTGGTACCACTATTTTCTTTTAGATTTACTTAGTCCAAATGTATTTACTAAACTCAACTCGATGAGTTTCATACTTTCATTTAGACAGTGGGAAATCTCGTTAGCAACCGGGGGTTACCTCCTCCGAGGGATTTCTGATCATCCGATAGAGACGTCTTAATTTAGTTGAAATTATTGTTTTGTGATGTTTGTGATTAAATTTTGATTGTTTTATATTTGAATGTTGTGGTGGTGAATTTCATCTTGGTTGATTTTATTTGGTTTTGGTTTCAGTTTCATGGCTATCCTAAAGGTTTTAGTTTTGACATGCAGGGTGACATCGTTGTTTAACATGCAAGTTCATGAGCAGAAAAAGTGCAAGAAAAGAAGATGTCGTAAACTATAAAAGCGTACCTGTCGAGTCTTCTCGTTCTTCCACTTGAAAGTTCAATACTTGCAAGGTATATATATATAGTTTTGCAAGAATTAAAGCATGCTTGTAGAAAAAGAATAGGAAGTACAGGTTCAAGGTGTTTCTACCAGATTCTATGTCATATCTTAATGGGTCCTTTTCATTTAAATGTATATATGATTTTGTAAGCAAGGCATAATGAGTTTAATCATACTTCAAGATATCCAAATGAGTATGAGAAGGATCTAGGGGCCAGGCCCCAGGCCTCTCACAATCCCTTGAAAAGTCTCGAGTTTATTTAAACTCATTATGTTGCTTAATAAATCATCCCTATCATACCCCTATGCTCAATGAACTGATGTTCTAGCCAACCCTAAGGATGGGTTAATTATCACTTGATGTTTTATTTATAAATTATATAGGTAAAAGACCTTTAAGGGCAATTTGGTTTAATTAAGGAGCTTAGTACTTTAATTTTAAAGATGGGCTTGTAGTGTTTTGAAAGGTTTTAAATTACTTATAAGTTATTTTCTAAACCTCATTAGTAAAATTTTGATTAAGCCTAGTTCATTACTAAGCCTTTAAGATTTAATAGGTAGATTTATAATGTTAAGAAAAAGAGTTTTTAATATTTATATTCTTAATCCTTATCATGAATTATAAATCATCTCAAAACCATTAGTTGGGGGTTTAAAATCAGTGAGTTATGCTCTTCTAAAATCAAACCCCTCATCGTAATAACTCCCTATTTAAATATTCTTTTAAATTTCATTAATTTTAAAAAATTACACATTTATTCTTTATAAGATCAGAGTGAGATTGGTTACTACCACTTATCCCTTTTATGTTTCAATTATCAAGACATGTCAATTGAAATTATTTGTTGCCCATATAGTCCTTTGCTTAAGCCTAAATAATAATTAAGTCTCAAATTCCAAAATTACCCTTTTGCCCCTAAGACCTTAACACCCTATAATTCATTAAATTAGACTCAAATGACTTGAAAATTTTATGTTACCTCACTTATGGGTTAATTAAAATATCAGAGGAGAAAATGTGATTTTTTTGAAT